GGGGGATGGGGGGGATTGGGAGGAAGAAAGAACGAATTGAGAAATAAAATAAAAATAAGGGAAAGTAAGATGTGAAAGAAGAAGAAGGAAGTACGAGTTGAAAATAATTGAGAGAAAGACAAATTTAAGATGAAGATAGAATTGAGAGATGACCCGATTAAAAAAAAAAGAAAGAACGATTTGAGAGGTAAAAAAAAAAAATACGAGAAAAATAAAGTGTTGACAAATGAACAAAACCTGAGAAAGAATATTTGAGAGAAAGACAAACAATACGACAATGAAAATAATCGTGAGGAAGTTGAGAGAAATGAAGAAAGAAAGAGTCCAGTAAAGTGGGCCACATTTTCTGGTTTCACGCCCTGAAACTTGGGAGACAAAATTGTACAAACCTAGCGTCGGACAGCAGCTGTTCACGTAACTTGGGCCATACATTTTTATTTTATTTTATAAAAATTTAAAGAAGATGTTCAAATTATAAACTGCACTTTTAAAATCTTAAATCTTTGGTATCTTTGGCATGTGGTTAGGCTCTCGGACTCGCAACCGTAAGGTCGTGGGTTCGAATCCCGTCAGGGGCCCGACGTTGTGTCCTTGGGAAAAGCACTTTACACGAATTTTCCTCACTTCACCCACGTGGGAATGGGTACCCGGCTATAGACAGTGAAAGATCTTGTCAGTTTGTTAGTGTTTGAGCGCTTAATCAGCTGCTGGCACTGTATGCTTCCCGGGAAGCTGAGAATGTTTCAGAGTGTTCTATGGTCTGCTGGGGTAACAATATAGTGTAAAGCGCATAGAGCCTGCTGTTGAGCGGGGATATGCGCTATACAAATGCTATTTATTATTATTATGTGCTCAAGAACTATTTCGACAAAATTTTAATTTCGAAAGGGAACAGTTTGTTTTCTTCAATCTGATCAGTCCTGCCCAAGGTGGTCACCTGTCTAAAACGACCAATGTCTTAGACAACTACTTGTCTAAAACGACCACTGTCTCTGTCGGTTACCTGTCTAAGAAGACAACCTGTTTAAAACGACCCTTCATCTAGATCACTCAAGGCCATCACCTGCCTAAGACGGCCAATGAGTGGTCACTTTTGACAGGTTCTACCGTACAGCTCACTGACCTCTCGGACTTCTCCAGTCTCTGGGAACGGACGCATCTCCCACCACGTGACCACAAGCACAGAGCTAGCCTCGAACTCGCTGCTCTCGACCTGTTCGTAGTTGAGTTGGTTGCGTACTTCCTGGCTGGCTCTGTCCAGTGTTTCCGTCTGTTCCTGGGTTCCCTCCCTGGACTGTTTGTTGTAGAGCTGATGGATAGAGGGTGGAAGAATTGAGGGGAAGAGAAAGACTGTTTGTTGTACAACTGATGGATGGAGGGTGGAAGAATTGAGGGGAAGAGAAAGACTGTTTGTTGTAGAGCTGATGGATGGAGGGTGGAAGAATTGAGGGGAAGAGAAAGACTGTTTGTTGTAGAGCTGATGGATGGACGGTGGAAGAATTTTAGGAAAGAAACTTGGATGAAAGGAAGACTTGGGAAAAGGAAAAAAGGTAAGAGAAAGAAGTAATTGAGAGAAAGAAAAAATCCATAGAAAGAGAGAATTGAGAAAATGAAACAGGAAACAGAAAGATAAAATAGAAAGAATTGAGAGAAAGAAAGACGTAAGAAAAAGAAAGAGAGAGTAACTAAACGAAAGAAAGAAAAAAAGAGAAAGAAAAGGGTGAGAGTCCCTCACGTGATAATAGACGTGAGAGATATCGTTGGACACAGAGCTCAGGTCTGTCCAGTAGGGCGCCAGGATGTCTGGGTCTCCTGCTAATTTGCTCGGGTCTGACGGATCGATACTGTCGAAGTGTTGTCCCAGACTGATCAAACCGTTGACGGATATCTGAGGGTAAGTAATAGAGATAGATATCTGAGGGAAAGTAATAGAGAAAGATATCTGAGGGAAAGTAATAGAGATAGATATCTGAGGGAAAGTACGGGGATACAGATAGACATTAGGTGTGAGTTAATTACATATCTGAGTCCAATTCCCGGAAATATGATTCTAAGACAAGTCCAGATATTGGCCATGAATTGATATACATATCTGAACCAAAGTAAATCCAAGATATTTGACGAGATTTCTATCAGTCTGTCTGTCTATTTCTCCCCACTCTCCCCCCCCTCTCTCTCTCTCTCTCTCTCTCTCTCTCTCTCTCTCTCTCTCTCTCTCTCTCTCTCTCTCTCTCTCTCTCTCTCTCTCTCTCTCTTTCAGTCCGAAGATATCAGAGAAAAACAAACATAAAGCATGACTTGCTTTGCAAGGTATCTGTAGCAACAACCAGAGAAATACAAACTGTTGGGCGCGGCTGTAAATATTATCTTGTGGGAAGACGGGGCAATGTGTTGGCATGTACAACTGGCACTTGGAAGA